AGTTTAAATCTCTATAAGAATAAAGTAACTAGAGAGAAGGTAGTAGCTATAAAAGCGCTTCTAGTTTAAAACTAATATAAATATACTTACTATAACGTACTTTATAAGCGAGCTAGTTACACAAGCAAGCTAGTTACCTTCTCTTAGCAACGAAAATCAACGAAAATTAACCCGTTTTTCTTAAATAACTAAGCGAAACCTTAATATTTTTCTATAAAAATTTATATATATATTCTCTATAGTATAATACACCTTATAGTAAAGTTGCACTAAGATATATTACGTAATTAAAAAGCTATACGTATTTAACTAACTTTTAAGAAAAAATCTAGTTTACTTCTAGTAAGTACTATTATATCTCTATAATAATATATAAAACTTATAGTATATAGTATTTATAACGTAATAAAGGTTTCTAGAAAACTTTTATAGAGCTAGCTCTTCTAGGTATAGCGTAATAAGAGATAGAACTTTAAAATATTCTTTTTAGAGTTTTCTTCTCTAACTATATATAGATATTAATAATCTAGCTATATAAAGCTATATATTATAAGCTTATATATATTATAAGGTTTCTAGATATTTAGAAGTAATAATTTTAAGATAGTTTTAGTATAGTTCTATCTTTTTCTACTATACTATAAAAAGGCTTTACTTTTAAATAACTACTTAAAGCTACTATATTATTAGTTAATAAGCTCTATATAGTTTAAGTATACTATAATTTATAAAATTACAAGTTTATATAGCTAGATTAACTAATATATATATAGTAAGAAGAGAAAACTCTAAAGAAGAAATTTTTCTAACTTCTATCTCTTATTATACTATACCTAGAAGAGCTAGCTCTATAAAAGTTTTCTAGAAACCTTTATTACGATATAAATACTATATACTATAAGTTTTATATATTATTATAGAGATATAATAGTACTTACTAGAAGTAAACTAGATTTTTTCTTAAAAGTTAGTTAAATACGTATAGCTTTTTAATTACGTAATATATCTTAGTGCAACTTTACTATAAGGTGTAATATACTATAGAGAATATATATATAAATTTTTCTATAAAAATATTAAGGTTTCGCTTAGTTATTTAAGAAAAACGGGTTAATTTTCGTTAATTTTCGTTGCTAAGAGAAGATAACTAGCTTGCTTGCATAACTAGCTCGCTTATAAAGTACGTTATTAAAGAATATATATATAAATTTCTATAGAAATATATTAAGATTTTACTTAGTTATTTAAGAAAAACTTATAAATTCTTATTAATTTTTCTTACTAAGAAATTATAGACGGTTTGCTTATATAGGCGGTTTGCTTATAAAGTATATTATTAATTTTCTTTTTTAGTATTTTTAGAGAGTTCGATAGTATAGAGGTTTTAATAGTAAAGTACGTTATTAGTTATATACACGTTATTAATACTTAATATAGCCGTCTAAAATCTTTGCTTATATTTCGAGTGCCTACTAGAGCACTTTAGATTAACATCAAAGTAAGACATCCTGGACGCCAAACGATGCTAAAAAGGACAGTATGCTAAAGTAATCAATCCGAAGACGCCATGTAAAAAGCAAGCAGGGGGTAGTATGTGCAAGGAAGACTACGGACGCGCAGAAAAGGAATGGTAAGTAACGTGGTGAACACTTATGTCCTCTGGTTCTGGTTCGGGTCTGGTGGCTCGTTGCTGTTGCTTGGACCGGGTGATCCGTCTCTCTGCGGCGGTTGTTGGACACCATTGCTTGAAGGTTCCCCCGGCTGAGGAGACTCCTCTCGCCCGTATCGTCTCGATCGGCCGCCGAACACGTCCGATAATCGGACGCTCATTCGTTTACTGCGGCGGTCCCTGGCGACGTCTTCAGAGCTAGCATTTGCGCTACCTGAGGTGATATCGCCGCTTTGGTTATGCCGCAATTCCCGTAGACGGCGTAGGGCTGATATGCGCTCATCAGCCGAAGCGTTGGGACGGGAGCGGAATGAGACAATATCGCGCAGCGCCGAGCGCCGACGATGCGAAACGTCGGTGTCGGGCTGTAAAGGTGGAGCAAGAAAGTCCGGGTCCTGAGTATCGGAGTCCTGTTCCTCGGTGGAGGTATTGGAGGTGACTGGCCGTAGGTCGACGCGGCTGGTGCAATTTAGCTTGTTGGATAAACAATGTAGACTTGTAGTCAACTTACCACAATGGACATGTGCCCGACACATTGAGGAGCCAGGGATCCACACACTCGGGATGGAACTTATGGTTGCAGGGTAACACGCGGATATCTTGGCCCTTCTCAAAGTCCTCGGTGCAAATGGAGCATCCGAGGCCTTCCTCAGACGAAGGGTCATGCTGTGCTGCAACGGCCGCCGCGGGAGCAATGCCCGATTCCATAGCCGCGTGCTGAGCGCCCACATGCCGAGGCACTTCAGCTTGGTTCTCCGTGGAAGCGTCGGTCGTTGCTGGCGCATCCTGAGCTCCCATTTCTGCGTTCGCGTCGTCTACATGCCTTGCTTCTGACGTGGATCCCAACTCCACATCCGTCGGCTTCGGCGATTCCCGCTCGCCAAACTTGACAATCGGGATCGTATCCAGAATGGCTCTTCCCAATCCTCTCGCCCTGCTCTGCCTTGGTCTTCCCAAAACATCCCGCGGCCCATAGCGATCCGGATGGCGATGCGCCCTCACCGCGCCCGTGATGATGATGACGAGGAATAGCGCCGTGATAATTCCCGTGATACTATACAGAATAATCATAGCCACGGCCGTCGACGGCGATGGACCCAGTGGATTATTCTGCTGGCCGTTCGGGCCCTCGTCGCCCCCGCTCCCCCCGTTCCTACTCTTTGTAACCTCGACGAAGAACTTGGACGAGACAGGCTGGCTCTTCAGTTGATCCCTAATCTGTTGTGAATCTGACTTGTCCGTCATCGAGTACAGCGGAAACTCCTGCATTCCTGGCTTTGCGTCGGTGTAGTTGCAATAGTCGGTCGCTGTGCTGTACAGTATAATGGCGGTGATATTGTGGCCGTTGTAAGCCTCTTGGAGGACGGCGTCGGCTTTGATCATGCCCTTGTAGTCGTCGGGATTGCAGCTGATATAGGCAATGTCGCCGTCAGTTATGTTCTGGTAGTTGGCGTCCGTTGTGAGGAAGAGGTTTCCGTCCACCTGCCGGCATTAGCTTCAATCACGATGTGCAAGCGCTCCCGGGGCTACACGAACACCACGCGACGTAGCCTCCTGTGACAACGGCACCAGTGTAGAGATATTCTGCTGCTGTGAATCCTGCAGCACAATCTGCCCGCCGAAGTCGACGCCGGTCTTGCTGGTCGAGGGTTGGATGTCGGCCGAAACGACCATGGCGAACAGCGCGCATGTCAACTGCCACGGCAGCCGCTGCAGCGCTCGCACCAACATGGTGCCGTGACGCACTTCTTCCTCTCTTGGATGGCAGTCGTCAGTCGTCAGTCGTCAGTCGTCTTCTCGTCTTATCGATGCGCTGCTCTCATCCATCGAACGAATGAATGCTGGCGGGGTCCCGAAACCACACGTCGTCTCTTTCTCTCCCCGGAAAGCGAGTCCAAAGCACAAACGAAATATGTGCGGGCGCCCTCCCGCTATACGGCAGACATGGCGCAACGGGCGTGGTCGAAGAAGAAGAAGGAGAAGAAGAAGAAGTGCAGAGTGCAGAGTGCAGAGTGCAGCAACGCGAGACTGGGAAGGAAGGCGGGTGTCCCGGTGCGAACCCCGGTCGCGGCTCGCTCGGAGGGGCAGATCAATCAGCAGTCGGCCGCCGGTATCGTGCGGGAACTGTGGAACGATGATGCGTGCAACTCCAGTCTCCAGGCCTCTCCTGTGCCACACGCTGACCGGGAATCAAGCGCTGCACTCCGCCGTCTGAAACCGGGTCCGTTCACTCTCGGTCTCCTTGCATTCATTCTCGCCTGGGCCGCACCGCCTCACTACCACTTATCCTGATTCCTCATCATGGCTTACAGCGTACCACCTATCTAATCCCCCGACTTCCTTGCCAACGTGTCCAAATACCCTAACGGCGCATCCCATGACGCGCGCTGAATCCAAATACCATGTTCCCTTGCCTTGCAACGACGGCGCATCTCCGACACCCCACAGATTCTCAAACACCCTCTCGGATCCACGAGGCGCCGAGACCGCAGCACGCCCACCCACGTATGCTCACTGGCTGACTGGCATCTGACCTGATAGTGGCCGAGGGGCTGAGAAGAAGCAAGTCGCTCCGTGTGCAGTGCGGGGTGCAGCAAAAGCAAAGGCGATACACAGTACGTGGATAGCTTCTGTATTTTCATGCGAACAAACTCTACCAACCCTCAAAGCCCCCAAACGCCCGCGCTATGCGCTGCCGAATGCTAGTCGAACCCAGCCCTACCGATATAATGCATAGTAAGAAATACCATCATCCACCACAGACAAATTACTTCCCCTGCTATAAACAGTGGGTGGGGTACACCTCCGCGTCTTTACAATTTCGGGCCAAGCCCCATCGAGCATCTTCAATACGCTCGACCACCTGTGCCGCGTCCAATCGTCTTAAATGACATCGCCTCGACCTGCTGCTCCATGAGCCCTCCGATAGCAAGCGTGTCGTGAGGGTCGATTCCCATTCTGTCAAAGTCGTTGAAGCTGGAGAAGTAGAACCCGACCATTACTACCAGGTAAGAAAGGATGAGGATGGATCCCTTGAAGTAGTTGCTCTTTCCTTCGCCGTACATGTACGAGAGGAGGAAGACACATAAGATGACTGTGACCATGTCCCATTGAGGAAAGATCAAACCTGGAAAAGCCGTCAGCAAGCTCATCACAGCCTCTGCGAATAGCAGGAACACTTACTGAATGATGAGTTGATGATCTGAGAAGGATCGACCCATTGGTTGTGGATAGCGCTGTACAAGACGAGCGCCGGAATCTGGAGAAGGAGAACTTGCAAAGCGTAAGCAGAGCCGATTTCCATCGAAAGCGCAATGTTGCCGTTCATGGCGAATGAGATGGCGTTCTACGAGGAGACCTAGTCAGCAAGCCATCGCTTAGGGTGCACGCAGGCAGCTTCTACTCACCAGGAATTCGGTAGTGTTGGGCACCAGCGCAAATAGTGTGATACCCAGGAATTTCTCGTCGATATCCCACCCCTGCAGAACCGCATCGACAGTGTCGACTAGAATTTCCGCAATAATGGCATACGCCACAGTGGCTGTGAGAAGGACAGCAGCACTCTTCGTCCTGCTCCAGTTCGGCGCATCGTGTCCGCCTGAACTGTGACCCGGCGCAGCCTCTTCATGCCCCTCCTGGTAGGTTCCAGTCCTCGTATGGTGTGGTCGTTCAGGAGCCCCCTTAGCCGGCGCCTGAGCCATCAGAGCGGCTTTGCGGGGCGCTTTCGTAGCATCACGCGTAGCCAGGGCCGTGGTTGTAGCGGCAATCTCAGTAATCTGTCGCACCAACGACTGGCTGTCTCGCTCCGATAGACCACCAATGTGGAAACTAGACGCCGCATGTTCGTCTCCGTCCTTTGGTGGTACGACGTGCGGTGTCTGCCCATCAGACCTTGAACTTGGTCGGGCTTGCCCGGAAGCTTCGCCCTCTGGCCCAAGCCCCACTTGGTGGAGAGTCTGGCCGACAATGCGCTTGTATAGCTGGCTGTTACGTATGTCCGCCCGAGAGATAGACTGGCTGGTTGCCTGTCTCGTGAGTGTATTCGGCATCTCGATAGACGCGTTGTTACTGAACTGGCTGGCCGACATATCAATGGGCCTCTTTTCGTCAGGCTCACTGCTCCAGATCACTGCGGCATGCGTCCTTAGCGTAAACAGCAGACCAATGACGTATGACAGGAACAGCAGAGCAGCCGCGAACCAGATGTACGGCCTGACGGCTTCTTCGTAGAAAGGATCGTTGATGGCCGGCGTCTGTGAATAGTAGCATCTTCGGCAGTCCCGCTCCGAGGGTACGCTGTGGTGCCGGACGCATAGACGGCAGCTTAGCTCATGGCTACCGTAGATCTGGTAGAATAGGGTTGGTCCGAAGGCGCCAATAACGGCAAAGAGGAGCATAGTCGATGTGACTCCGGCTGACTTGACGTTGAATCGCTGCGTCTTCCTCTTCAGAGCGCCAAAACACATGGACAAACCTGGAAGGAAGAGTATACCGGCAAAGATACTGCCAATGATACTTCCTTCCACTAGCTGTGCCTTGCCTTCGTTCAATGCAACACAATAGAGGAATACTTCAACTACGGTGGAGAAGAAGGCGTTGATGGTAGCACCCACTCCCATCGACGACTGCGCAGATATGGAAGCAACAGCCTGGCCGATGAAGTACGCCAGGGGAATGATAGACAACAGGGCGAGCGTGAAGACGAAGAACTGATCCGTCAATGGGATTTTGAGGCCGAGCGCAACATCCAGGACCCAGTAGTCAAAGATGACGAAGGCAACAAGGCCGAGCAGATTGATGAGGAAGATGTTTGTTCCGTCGATGGTGTACTTCCAGTACCGGTTCCCAACGGCGCGGTAGGTACACAGCAGGATGGACGAAGACTCGCCTGGGCGCCGCACGTTGCCGCTATCCGAGTGGAAGGAGAGGGCCAGGGGGTGCCTTCGGAGATGGTCGAACAACAGGAGGGTAACTTTGCCCATCGGGATCGTAAATACTAGGAACCAGCATATGCCCGAGACGAGGAACAAGGCCGGAGTGAATATGCCATAGAAGAAGATGAAGAAGACAACACGTCCGACGTTCCACTTCCCGCGGCCGAACAGTCTCCTCTTTGTTTTCGCGGTATCCTGGTGCGACAGGTTGTTAGGGCGCCCGTCTCTCCCAAGCAAGCTGGTGGTCTCATCGGTCGAGTCAACGCTGCTTCTGCGTCTCCCGATCAGGGATGCTGTGGGGCCAAAGAACAGCCGTCCTTCCTCAATGTCACCGCTCTGCCACTGTTCGTACTCGCTGATGCTTCGGCCCTCGCCTTCATCCTCTTCCGCATACGCCTCGTCTTGCATCAATTTGACATACTTGCCGAAGGGGTAAAAGAGATAGACGGAAAGGTGGAATAGGAGTCGAGAGTATTCCATGCAGCTGTCCACGAATCCTAGGAGGGCACAGAGGAGAGCGCCGGCGGCGGCGAGCAGCGCAAGCCACCACCCGAAGGCGAGTGTCCAGACTATGTTGAACAGCAGGAGCCAATTACTGACGTACAAGCCCGGGGTAGAGTGGATGTCACCTTCGGCATTCCGCTGCACTGACCGATCCTTCTTGTACAAGGCAGGTTTCCAGATCCTGATGCCGAAGGGATGCGTGACGTTGATGGCCTCTTGCCGGTCCCTGAGCGTGAAGCTCTCCGCGTCGCTAAGGTCTTCGTCATCATCGGCGCCATTGCCGGTATCGTCCTCGTCGGCTCTAAGCGTCTCCTCGCCCGACGACGCAGGCTGGCCCTCGGCATCTGTGGGCGCTGCGGCGCGCTCTTGCTCGGTGGCATCGTCGCCGTCACTCGAATGCACGGTCGCAAGAGCGGGCACCTGAGCTGCCGGCCGTCGGCGGATCGTGGAAGGCTTCCTGCGCAGGGTCTGGCCCGGAGCCTGGCGCTGCTGCTTTTGCTGCTGCTGCTGCTGCTCGGTCAGCTCCTGGTTGACCTCGTCCTCGGCGTCGTCCACGGAGAACTCCTGGCCCTTGTGCGGATAGTGATACGAGGTGGTGCGTCGGTTCATCGCGGGTTTCTTCGGCTTGGGCTGGTCCGACGGGTTGACGCCCTGTTGTTGTCGGCGCTCGATGGACGAGGTTATGGAGCCTGGACGTTGTCAGTCTCTGCTTGGCTTCACGTGTGTGCATAGCGCGATGCGTACCATATCCTGTCGCCGGGGTCTGGGTCTGGGTCTGCTGTACCTGCGGTCGCCTGCGCGCGCCCTCTGAGCTCGAGGCGGGCAGTTGCTGGCTCGCGGAGGGAGAGTCGGCTCCATAGTCTGAGCTGCGTCGCGAGACGTTGGCGGACTCGGGATTGCTTCTTGCTGCTGCGGGCGGCTGGTCGCCTTCGCCCATGATGGCAGCCACGATGCGCGAATGCGCGATGCAGGGCTTGGCTGTGGATGGTCGGCGGCGGCGGCGGCGGCGGCTTATCTTGGTGTCTGGTCGAAGCAGCTCACAACGCGGCCCCGAGGCGTTTGCGGCGAGGGAGCGACGAGGGCAGCGGGATGCATAGCACACGAGGCCGGGCGACGTATGCTCTGCGGAGGCGGGCGGCGGCGGTAGCGGCGTAAGTGGACAGATGACACTGTGTGTAGGTGTGGATGGCCGATCAGCCCTCCATCACAGGTTCCAGGGCAGTTCCAACAACAAGCAAGCTGCAGCTCCGCACGCTTTCCGGGACCCCTGCACAGAGCCGCGCGATGCGCCACAGCTGCGTCGCGCTGTCGAAAACGGCTGCAAACCTGGCGTCGCCGACGTCTGCAGCTTCTCTCGCGGCGACAGGAGGCACAGCTGAATATGTAGAGCGCTTGGTAGAGCTCGGGAAGGCGTGGGAAGTGGTCCTGTCGGGCATGGGAGGGAAGCAGCGCAGCACCCCTGCCAGCGCGCTTTGCCCTTTTCACTCTAGCGCGCTCGTTCCCCGAGAAGCTCCCGGCCTCGCTGTTGCTGGGGACCAGAACCTCAACGCCGTCCTCAAACGTCCCCACGCAACCCTCTCCATCCCGCCGCTCTTCCCGCGCAGCCAAAGCTGCCCCCCCCTCCCGCAAAATCACCACATCAGCGCCACGCTCTCCAGGGCCCTCTCACCCGCCGAGACCGAACACCGCACACCGTCCGCTCTCCCGCCCGCCACCGCCATGGCGCTCGACACCTTCTACCACAATAAGATCGAGGGGATGAAGCTGGAGATCATACAGGGCCAAGCTGTACTGCGGCGGCTGGAAGCTCAGCGGAACGACTACAACTCGCGGGTGCGCTTGCTGCGGGAAGAGCTCGGCCTTCTCCAACAGCCTGGATCCTATGTCGGCGAGGTCGTCAAGGTCATGGGCACCAAGAAGGTGCTCGTCAAAGTGCATCCCGAAGGCAAATATGGTGAGTATGCTGCTTCTCTTGCACCGGTCAACCCGCGCTAATGAATGCGCAGTGGTTGACATCTCGGACAACGTCGATATAAGCAAGCTCACCGTGGGCAAGCGCGTCACCTTACTCAGCGACTCGTACAAGCTCGAGAAGATGCTGCCGTCGTCTGTGGATCCGCTCGTATCTCTGATGATGGTAGAAAAGGTTCCAGACAGCACATACGACATGATTGGAGGGCTGGACCAGCAGATCAAGGAAATCAAGGAGGTTATCGAGCTGGGTCTACAGCATCCCGAGCTTTTCGAGTCGCTCGGTATCGCACAACCCAAAGGCGTCTTGCTATATGGGCCGCCTGGGACAGGGAAGACGCTGCTTGCTCGTGCTGTGGCCCATCACGCCGACTGCAAGTTCATTCGAGTCTCCGGAAGCGAGTTGGTGCAGAAGTATATTGGTGAGGGTAGTCGCATGGTCCGAGAACTGTTCGTCATGGCCCGGGAACATGCGCCCAGCATCATTTTCATGGACGAGATCGACAGCATCGGATCAAGTCGAGTGGAAGGAAGTTCAGGTGGTGATTCCGAGGTGCAGCGGACCATGTTGGAGCTCCTGAACCAGCTGGACGGCTTCGAGCCTACCAAGAACATCAAAATCATCATGGCAACGAACCGACTGGATATTCTGGACCCCGCCTTGCTTCGACCCGGCCGAATCGACCGCAAGATCGAGTTCCCGCCGCCTTCGGTGGAGGCTCGCGCCGACATTCTGCGAATCCACTCCAGGAGCATGAACTTGACGCGTGGCATCAACCTTACCAAGATTGCAGAGAAGATGAACGGCTGCTCCGGAGCCGAGCTGAAGGGTGTGTGCACAGAGGCTGGCATGTACGCGTTGCGAGAAAGGAGAGTACATGTCACGCAGGAGGACTTCGATCTTGCGACCGCCAAGGTACTGAACAAGCACGACGACAAGGCGACCAGCTTGAGCAAGCTCTGGAAGTAAGGTGTGGGCAAAGTTGAGGTGGCGACCATGTGGCTGCTAATCACTCTGTGATTTTGGTCTGAGAGAGATGCAGCCTTCTCATGTAACATCATGCATAGCAGCTATAGAAAGTTCTTGAAGTCCTAATCTCGAGGCCGCCAAGCCCTCAGCAGCACAGTACCGCTTCTGACTACTTGTTTGGTACCCGAGCGTGGACCTCGACCACCATGTTCGCACGTGACATTGCGTTATCGCGTCGACTTTTAGCTCCGCTGATCCCGTCCTTCGTCCAACCCAGATGCAGATCTCTGCATCAGCTCTGTACGGGGTTCCCAGGCGCCGGGAAAGAAGCGCTGCGCTCCATAAGATTTTTCAGGCAAAACGCAATAATGCTTAGTACATCACCTCTACCAAGCTCCTCGGCCCGGGACGTTCCTCGTAGAACCATGGCTCAAGCAATGACGTCTTCTCGCACACCTGTCACACCCACCTATCGTATAGCATGCATGTCGACACCTTGGACGCCAATTGCGCGAGAGCACTGCGAGGATCCCCACACTAGCCCTACAAAGGCAGCTCCCCAACTCCATGGCACCCCCATGGCGTTTTTCTCGCATCTCACCATATAGCCCGGAACTTTTCTCTTCATTGAAGAAGCTTATCTATCACGCTTGGATCTTGCCATCGCCCCTTGCTTGAGAGCGGCCTGCGGAGTCCAATATTTGTGTGGCCAACACTACTGGATATTGAATTATCTCGTCTATTGGACTCTCAACGCGCATCGAACCCTCGACGACTATCCCGTTAAGTTCGGTCCACTTGTACCACAGTAGAGGCGTTGAGCGATATGGCTGACGATCCTCGGAAAATCGAGGAGCGCAAGGAAGATGAGGCGCAGGAGGTACCTTCGATCCATGAAGCTCCCGCCGCGGTGCTCGGAGAGGGCTCTTTGGACCCCGTGTACGAGGCCAAAGCAAAATTGCTGAACAAAGCTATCCAGGACATCGGGATGGGAAGATATCAGTGGCAGGTAAAGAAACTCTCCCTCACAAATCACACTAGAATCTCCAACTCTTTCTATCCGGTGCTCTCCTTCGCTTCGCTAGTAGCCAGCCAAAGCAGAGCTAACAACCCTAGCTTTTCATCGTAATAGGCTTCGGATGGGCCTCGGACAACCTCTGGCCGATCGTCACATCGCTAATCTTCACGCCTGTTAAAAACGAATTCCAACCCACGCGCGCGCCCTACCTCACGCTCTCGCAGAACATCGGCCTACTCGCGGGGGCCATCTTTTGGGGCTTCGGATGCGATGTGTTTGGGCGCCGCTGGGCTTTCAACCTCACTATCGGAATCACCGCCGTCTTCGGCCTCATTGCGGCTGGATCTCCGAATTTTGCTGCTGTTGGCGTATTTGCCGCGTTATGGTCCGTCGGTGTAGGCGGGAATCTACCCGTCGATTCAGCCATCTTCTTAGAGTTTCTGCCGCAGAGCCATCAATGGCTGCTCACGGTTCTGAGTATCGACTGGGCCCTCGCGCAGGTTTTCGCGACGCTGGTCGCGTGGCCGTTACTAGGAAACATGACATGCCAAGAAACGGATACGGATTGCACCAAAGGCGAGAACATGGGCTGGAGATACTTCATGATTGTCATGGGATGCGTGGCCATGCTCATGTTCTTTCTACGCTTCGTGTGCTTTACGATCTTCGAGAGCCCGAAGTATCTAATGGGAAAGGGGCAGGACGACGCCGCGGTGAAGATCGTCCACGAAGTCGCAAGACGGAACGGTAAAACATCAAGCCTGACATTGGACGATCTAACCGTTTGCAACAACCTCGCCCCTTCAACCCTAGGAACGCAACAGCAATCCCACACTACGGCAGCCGTCAAGCGCAACCTCGAGAAGATCAACCTCTCCCACATCAAAGCCCTCTTCGCAACCAAAAAGCTGGCCCTCAGCACAACCCTAATCACTATCGTTTGGGCCTTTATCGGCCTTGGCTTCCCTCTCTACAACGCCTTCCTTCCTTACATCCAAGCCACGCGCGGCGCTGACTTTGGCGATGGTTCAACCTATCTCGTACGAGGATCCCGGGCTCATCATTACCATCACTGAAGCACTTCACTAACCTTTCCACAGACCTACCGCAACTCGCTCATCATCGCCGTCCTCGGTGTCCCGGGTTGCCTCCTAGGTGGTCTTCTCGTCGAAACACCACGCGTCGGCCGCAAAGGCACGCTCTCCCTCTCCACAATTCTCACCGGTGTCTTCCTCTTCTGCAGCACCACCGCTTTGACCTCCTCCGCCCTCCTCGGCTGGAATTGCGCCTACAATTTCATGAGCAACATCATGTACGCGGTGCTTTATAGCTACACGCCAGAGATCTTTCCGACCAAGGATCGCGGAACCGGGAATGCTATCACGGCGAGTGCAAATAGAGTGTTTGGTATTATGGCGCCGATTGTGGCTATGTTTGCGGATTTGGAGAGTGCGGCGCCGGTGTATGTTAGTGGCGCCTTGTTCTGTGCGGCGGGGCTGTTGGTGCTTGTGCTACCGTTTGAGAGTCGGGGGAAGGCGAGCATGTAGTTAGTGGGTATATTGGGAGCTTTCAGGCCCAGATAAGACGGATCGGGATGAGGCGGGATAGTATACCCTGGACCACAGCGAGCGAGCGGAAATTGTATGGGCTTTGGTTTTGGGCTCACTGTTTGACTGGCATAGTAGTACATTCTTCCGGCTAAGTGCATGTATACCCAACGACCACACCAGCTTGCGCTTCTCCAAGTGTCTAACCTCCTCCTCACCATCACGCCCTGCCGCGGAGTGTTCTCTTGCCCAGTCTCCTCTCCATGCATGATCAACTCACGAATCTAGATCCAACTCCTTACCAACGCTCCAGAATGCTCGCGTGGTACGCGCATGTCGATCGCCCCGCGAGACATTGTTTCGTTTCACCTGCCGCGCTCCACCGCGCCGCATGCGGATATCAAAGTCTCAGAATTGCACCCTCGGCGGGCCTAGGAGAAGCAGGTCATTCCGGATCTCGGGACCGATTCCCCATGGCGGGGATACAAGACAAGGGCGGCATGTTTCTGCTCTTCAATCTTGGTTCTGAATTGTGATTAGCATTATACTATGGCGTACACGGTTAATAGAAAGGGACCGGAAGGTGAAACCCACAGGGGCATGACGCTAAAGTCTATGCACCTAGCGATGCTCTATGGGAAGACAAAAGGGCAAACGAGGAGGAGATCGAAGGGAAAGCAGCGATAGTAAATAAACATGCTATATCTTGAATGTACACGATGCCATTACAAGAAGTAATGTATAGTCCAAGATGACTTGACAAGGCGCCCTTCTCGCAGAACTCCGGATGGCAAACAAGTGAAAAGGGAATTCAAGAAGACCACTAGGGAAAATGTCGCACCGACGGGCCTGAAGTGCTCGCAGATGCGTGCTGTCGTGCGTAAATGCCTTGCCCTGCTCTCTCCGCTCGGCCCTCGTGCATGTGCGCCTCAAGGCACTGTAGCAGTGGCCAATGCAGACGAAGCGCCAACCCATATCGCCTGAACTATCTCCAACTGGTTGCGATCACGGCCCGTGTCTTCGTACATCTAGCAGCACTTCCCGCCCATGCCCCCGCCTGCATTATTTGTGTCTCCCACATCGACCTTGCTCGTTGCCTGCTCCGTCCGCGCGCTATCGATCAGCCTCTTCTTGATATCCGAGGCAAGCGAGTAGAAGGCCTGGTCCACGTTGATGTTGGATTTAGCCGAGACTTCTAGGAAGGGGATGCCGAGTTCGTCTGCGAGGGCCTGGCCACGCTCTGTCGACACGGCGCGCTTCTCTTCCCAGTCGCATTTGTTGCCGATGAGGATCTTGTTGACGCCTTCGGTGGCGTGCTGTTCGACGTTGGAGAACCATGTGCGGATGTCTATGCAAGAGCCGTTAGCGCTCTGTGCCCTCTCTGTAGATTATCCCCACGACTGTCTATATCTCGTGCGATGTGGTCGGCACAGGGACAAATCCAGGGACCAACATACTATTAAACGACCGCTCATCCGTAACATCATACACTAGTAGAATGCCCATGGCCCCGCGATAATATGCCGTCGTAATGGTCCTGAAGCGCTCCTGGCCTGCGGTATCCCATATCTGCAGCTTGACGCGCTTGCCGTCGAGCTCGATGGTCCGGATCTTGAAGTCGATGCCAATCGTCGTGATGAAACTCGGCGTGAACGAGTCCTCGCTGAACCGCAGCAAACAGCACGATTTGCCTACGCCCGAGTCGCCGATGAGGAGGAGCTTGATCTATGGGGCATATGCGAGTCAGTGAGGTGTATGCAGGTGTGGGGAAGGAGGAGGCGGAGGCGGAGGCGGAAGGGGGTGTATTGGGGAAGGGGGGTATGCATGGCGGCAGCAGCAACAGCAGCGAGCTTGTCGCGGAGCGCAGGAGGGCGGGCTTACGAGGAAGTCGTAGTTCCTTGTGCCGGCCATGGTGTTGTCTGTGAGCGAAACAGGGCCGTGGGCGATGGAGGAGGTGGGCTGCGGCGTTGCACCCGCCTGTGTTGGCCTAGGTGCTGGGGGCGGGGGCTTCACGGACGGTCCTGTTTGGCGCGGGGGCACGACTGCGGAGCGGCAACCGGTATCTGGGGAGAAGTTGAGTTGTCAGTCAAGGCGGACGGAGCGCTTCTGCGTGTCTGGGGGTGGAAGGCAACTGTAATCGCAGGCCGGCCAGGTACGTCGCCGTTGGGGTCAAGCGCCAAGCTGCTCGGGAAACTAGCGAACGGGCCCCCGTCACTCGCCACCGCCACAGATGCCCAAAGCAGATGCGAACCGCCACCCGGTTACGCCAATGACTCGTATGTACGCCGCACGGCATCCCGGAGACATTAATACGAGCATGTCAGAGCATACAGCAGCCAAGGGCATAATCGTCACAATCCCCCAGGGCTCTCACCCACCCACGTGATCCCTTGCTCTGCCGCGTCCTACCACAACATCATCCGTCCGAAACGGGATCATCCATCCTGCAGGGATTCAGAGCCCTGCCACATCTCAACATGGCCAGGGAGTTACTTAAAGTCCCTTCAATGCTTTTTTTTTGGATATGGATATGTACAGTACAGGGTCCACTAGCTGGTGAACCACTTGGAGTATGCCCACCGAATCCTATCAACCACCTTCTGCTGGCGCTCCAGGCCCGACCGGACGTCTACCAGCTCGTCGATCTCAACCAGAAAGTCGTGGAATATGCGCCTCGGCAGTATCCCGCCGGCAGCCTGTCGCAGCAGGTGGACTTCGCAGAGCAGTAAGCCATGGTCTTTGTAGGATATCTCCCCGAATTCGGTCGGATTGGCGCCGACTAGGATGCGATCAATGTTTCTGGTATTATACTATCAGCTTCGATTCCGAAAGAAATCAGCCCGAAGGACTCTAACGGCGTGTTCCCAGCCAAGTTGGTCGCCTTGGTCAATGGCTACAATGCCTGTTACGTACCTCAGTATTAGGAGGAGCTGACCCTGCCTCGCCCACTGCTTTACGCCCTTCCGACTACTGAATGTACCCTTCAGCCACCTATATACCCCAATAGTGACGAGAACACCAGGGGTCAATCCGATGAACCTAGAAAAGGTAAGCTTAATCGTCTTCAGAGACCTATCAACACATCCCCACGACCCATTGTGCACAAACCCCCTGCACATCATACTAATTCCAGCTCCTAGCCAGAAAGGTCAAAAGTGCACGCCACATCCCCCCTTGAAGGCCTCCAGTCTTGGATATCCGCTGTCAAGAAAACGTTCAAAGAACTTACCCAAAAAGGAGTTCCTGGCTCTTCAAGATAGAATCTATCCCGCTCATCGCAACCTCGACATCCACCTTGGTCTTCTGGACCTGTATCAACAGCGCGCTTGCCAGGTTCCCCAAGATGGCGCCTTTAACAGGGCTCTGAATGTCCTTCTCATAAGCTTTCAAGACCGGTGTCAGGTCCCCTTCTCTTACTTTTGAGCGAATATCAGCGATCTGAGTCTCGTTAAGAGCGGGCCCATCGGGATTCTTAACGGCGAAGTCGACCACCATGCGTTCGAGGCTGGAGCGGTCGGATTCCAAGCTCCGCTTGCTGAGGATCGAGACTTCGCTGTCATCGTCATGGCGGATAGTGCCGATAACTTTCTTCGTAGGCTCGAGGACCCAGTTGGTGTAGAAGTCGATAACGGTCTGGCCAAATTCACGTATCCACGTAAGAATTTCTTCTTTTCTGTTAATCACGAGGCGGAGAATCGTGGTCGACGAAACCAGCGCTATTGACACTGGCAGCCAATAGCGGACAAGATAGGAAGGGCGTCCGTTCTCTCGGACCGCGGCATGGAAGCTCGAAGTATAACTGGGTAAGGCTTGCGCGAGCAAGGTGTTCAAGCGGGCTGCTACATCCGCAGGTCTGAGCGAGGTTGCTGTTCGTTCCCCTGAGGGCTCGTGGAGCTCGTAGTAGTGATCGTCCTGAGTCGTGGCAGCTACCGAATCGTCGAACTTATCAAGAGAGCTCTCGGCGTCCTTGACGTTATGGATAACGGCGTCCATGAGCGCTATGCTCTTGGCGACTGTGCTCTTCCAGCGATGACGCTTGTCCTGGGTACCGAATTGGCCGGGTGATTGGAGACCTTCTTCGTGTATGCTATCGAGGTTAGCCTCACTTTAGCGTAGGGAAAGCCATGCCTGAACGCCTTCAGCGGACAAAGACGGCTAACTTGTCGGCTGCTCCAATGGCAGGTCTGGGAGGGGGGTGCTTACCTTTCATTACTTAACCCCTCTCCCAGCAATATCCCCAACGCGTTCGCATTGACCAGCTTTATCCTCCTTAAAGCTGCCTTTTTGTGCCTCCCCTCATTGCGCACCACGGCCAATGGACTTACAACCCTCCTTCGTATATCCGCAATCGATCGCTCCTTCACGGCGTCCTTCACAAGAGCATAAAACTCCCTCCAGCCGTTCGCGAACTGGCCTCCTCTCGACCTCACATCATGGTATATATCCTGTGACCACCTCCACAGCCGAATCGGCGACGTTTGTATCGAATAAAGGCCGGCAAAGCGGTAGGTGCTCAGTACGTCGTCCCAGTACCAGATGTCGTCTTCGAGGGGAATGGTCTGTTCGAGGATGGTATTGAGGACTTCGCCGTAGGCTTGGGTCGTGGCTTTGCTCAGAAGCAGCCATTCCAGCTCATGTTCGTACGACGACTCATGCGGCTCAGTGTCGGTGCGGTGGAGGCCGCCGGAGTCGTCGTGCTCAAAGAGCTGCGCGCACGTCGAGCAGCTCGACGAGATATTCGCTTGTTCGAGGATGCTCTTGATCCTGGTCGCAGGGACAAGCTTGGATGAGCTGGTCGTCGACAAGCTCTTGATCAGGCCCTGTAGGTGAGCGATTCGGGCTTGTCTTGCAGGGTCGTGGAGGTCGTCAGCGCCTGAGGCTAAGACGACGCCGTCTACTGCTGAGAGCTGCAGCCGATCGAGCTGCGCGTCGATTCGCCGCACCTGGCTGTGGTTGCATGGTCAGCTGCCCGGCGTCGGGCGTCGGTCCGGAACAGGCGTGTGACTTACTCGACCACGAAGCTCATGGTGCCGCTGTGATGCCGCCGGGGAGGGTGCGAGCTTGGGCGGAAGGATCACCGTCTGAGACCCAGGTAGCCGGACGCGACTGCCCGCGGCTCGAGGCGGATGACGTCGGCGATCCGAGACTGCCCTTGGCGCGTGGGGTGAGTAGTGTATTCACTTGTACTTTTTACCTTCGTCCTCGTATTTTATAATTTGAGTCATCTCTACGTCTTTGAACGCTACTGGAATTACCAAGACAAGGTAATGTTACTTTAGATTTTATAACAAGGTACTGTAACGAGAATCTATATTCCATGTTCTCTGGAGAGAAGAGGAAATCCAAATATGCATTACCAATAAAAACTAGAAAAAGAGCTCGCTGGCGTGTCCCATCCTAATTCCCCGTGTGCGCCAATACCATGCAAAGGAGAGACGAGGAAGACATGCACACATCGCAAATTACCATCTCATATTACAAGGTCGAGATCGTCTTTACAAAGCAAAGAAAGCGAGCACGGCTCCAAGGAGAGCGCCCTTGACCTGGACATTGAGCGGCGAAGCGGCGCCCGTGAACTCAGGAAGGCCGGATGAAACGCCGCCGCCGCCAGTGCCAGTGGGAAAGACAGTGGTACTGAAGCCCGAGGGGATAGGGTACGGAGCGCCAGTGGTCTGAGCCGGGGCGGGAGGAGGCGTGGTGCCAGGCACGAGGGCGATGGGCTCGGTAGGGTTGGCGCCAGGAGCTCCAGGCGTCTGGGTTGTGAAGACAATCTGAGGAACAGTAATGGAAGTAGAGCCATATGTGATCGTCGTGCACGGGACGTCGCTCGGGAGCGGCGCCGCGGCAGGGGCGGACGGTGCAGGCGCCGAAGGAGCCGGGCCAGTTGGCGCAGGGGCAGACGGCGTAGGAGCACCGGGTGCCGCGGGCGTGGTCGGGTTAAGAGGAATGTAACTCGGGCAGTTGGTAACGATACCAGGGTTCTGCGGGATGTCGTTGGCGCAGATGCCGATGAAGTACTGTAGAGCTGACGATGCCTCTTCCTGGGAGCCGTAGGCGGCAACGCACTGGATAACGTGGTCGGTGAAGCTAGCGATCTTGCAGTAACAGCTCGAGTCGGTGTTGTCCGAGCATTGCGTATCGATCTGGAGCCACGTGTTCAAACATTTCGGCAGAACCTCAGGAGGCGTGTAACCGCCGGGAGGTGGTGTGTAGCTTGGCGGGCTGGAAGATGAAGGCGCAGGAGTCTCGGAAGCAGGAGCAGAGGGCGTCTCACATGGAGGAGCACCATAACCGCCGCAAGCGGGAGGCGTCGATTCAACCGGCGGTGGAGTATAACCAGGCTGAGATGGGCTTGGGGTCTCAGAAGGAATTGCGGATTCGCATGGAGGCTGCCCGTATTGCCCGCATGACGGAGGGGTAGAGCCAGGCGCAGAGGGGCTTGGTGTCTCAGAAGCAGGAGCAGTCTCGCAAGGAGGAGCGCCATAGCTTCCGCATCCGGCCGGAGGAGTCGAGCTGGGAACCTCAGAGGAAGGAACCGAAGAAGGAATGCCGCAGCCTGTGCCGTTCCCGTACGGGGCACCGCAGGGCGGCGATGGTGTAGGTGTTTCCGCGGATGAAGACTCGGCCGAGGTGGAGGAAGGCACATCGCACGGTGGGACCCCATAGCCGCCACCGCAGGACGGAGCCGGAGTTGAGCTCTCTGGGGGTGGGGTTGAAGACTCAACAGCGGAAGAAGAGGTTGCCTCGCATGGGGGAGCGCCATAAGAGCCGCACGAAGGAGCTGGCGTCGAGCTCTCGGGAGGTTGTGTGGACGACTCGACATTGGAGCTTTCGCAAGGCGGCTGACCATATTGACCACACGTAGGGGCAGACGAAGCGGGCTGAGACGGCGCTGGCGTCGAAGCAGGCGGCGTATAAGCCGGCGGCGGCGTGTAAGTCTTGCCAGGGTTGCAATCGAACCCAATTTTGTGGAAGCCAATCTCGCAACTGTCCCTGCCAGACTCATTGTGGCTGCCAAGGTAGACATTTACACTTTTCGCACCGCCACACATGGCGTTCTTTACTGTAGTACCCTCTTTCTTGCACGGCGTAATCTGCTTGCAAATGCTGTTGTCAGGCATGGTGTAGTGGAACTCGAGATCGCAGTCAAACTCCACCGAGACGTCGATGTCGGTCACGGAGAAGCCGTCCTTCCTCTTGTCGCAGCTGAAGGTAGCGGGCTTGCTCTTGCTGCACGAATTGGTGATGGCCTTGCCGCCGAAACGCTTGTTGAGGACGTTGTCTCGGCGTCCGAAGCTATTCTTGCAGGTCCAACCCCCGCCAAAGTTGAAGTCCCCATAATTGAAGTTGGATTGGCCGTTCTGGAGTCCTGACCAGTCAAAGCCCTGCCTTTGCTGGTCGGAACACTCGTTGTTGTTGTAGTCCGGCGAGTTGAAGTAGCCGGCGTTGCGGTTCCACGTGGCAGCGACCTGCGTTGCAGCCAGCCCGGAGGCCAGAAGCGCAATTGAAACCTTCATGGTGGAAGCGATGGAAATATGTAGGATGAACGATATGGGCTAGTATGGTGACTGTAAATGAACGTGGAAGCACTGCTCGACGAAGGAAGAAGCGAAGGTTGAATGATGGCCGAGGACGGCAAAAACGAAGGGATTATAAAACACAAAGGACAAAGGATAGCGAATGACCTTGTCCCCAGGCAGCCCTTTGTGGGATATTAAGAAGAGAAAGCGAAACGCTGTGGTGAAGAAAGAGAAGAGCATCTGGACAAAGCAGAGAAGATATACCATGCCCCCCTCCGTCCTCAGGCACGGACCGAAACGGATCGTCTGAAACAGCGTGAGCGGTGCACCCCCGGTGATTGGGGATGACAGGCACAGTGCTCAGCCACGGACGCTCGCAGGGCCTTCCATATGCTTGTCGCGCGCTCTGCGGGCCGGGCTGGTCGCTGTTGGGCCACATCGCACTCCGCTGCGAGGTGTGCTGTGGTCTGTGGAGTGAGGTTGAAGGGTTCGCCGGGCAAGCGAGCATCAAGCGCTCCTGAAACGCGCCCAGGGCTCGAAATAGCGTCTTGGCCCTGCTCTTTTGATGCAGGTACAGGCCCAATGAGTGCGTCTGAATGTCCATGCCCGCTGAAAGGGGAAGAAGCCCTGGGCCGCCAACCAGACCCTCGCAAGCAACGTCAAGCTTCAGGTAGATCGATCGACGTCTTCGCGACTGGGCAGTCTCTCGCATTCTCTCGCGAGCCCTTTCTCTCCCGCGTCCCTCTTCTCCTCGGCACACTGCAACACCTCCCCTGCAACACCTCCCCTGCAACACCTCCCCTGCATCCTCTCCCCTTCCCTCCCCCCCCTCCCAAAGCAGCAACTCAGCACATCCCCAAACGGAAAGCTGGCGCCGGGTTCCTGCCGCTCTCCCGCCGCCACTAGCCGAAAAGCTTGACGCCTGGCAAAGCTGCAAAAAGAGGACACAAGGGCCATGTTTCGCATGCACCCCGGCGTTACACCATCGGACGCGCTAGAGCGAATCAGACGGCGTCTCGCGGCATGGCTGCTGGAAGAGCGAAGAGGGTTTAGAGCGCCGTCGCAGCCGCTGAGGAAAATTATTGAAAGGGACAGGCGCTATTGTAAGAGCAATGCAAAATGGTAGGCCAGTAGCTAGCCTTGCTCGCTTTCTATACATTCAGATCACAGGCCGACAAAGGTCCCACGGATAAAGAGCGCGCTTCGAGTAAACTCGATGAGCGCAAACACGTAGCCCTGGAGTGTACACTACACCATTATTCCACCAGCGGAAAGAGCAATGCGCAGCGGACTCAGCCAGCAGTCCGCACTTCGTTCGGGCCTGCAACGCTACCCCTTTGGGAACATGCACGCTGCAGGGATGGCACGAGCTACCACGAGCCGACCTTAGCGTCCCGAGGTCACGACCTCAGACAAGCTACGGACAGGTGATCGGGACGGAGGTGGCGGTGTCGGACGGGATGGAAAACTCGTGTTTTTGCAATTTGGGGAATCGCGGGATTCCTCGGTGTTTGTTCCCTCGTCGGTGTGATGGCTTCTCACAAGGCCTTCCAGTGCAACAAGACAGCACGCCTCGCTCGGGCATACTGTAAGAACGCCCGTCCTATCGGGCATGGTGAACCCCCATGTGGGCATTGCGCCCTCTGTTCTCCTTCTCTTCCGCAAGCCAGCGTTGCGGGGAACTTTCTCAAGCACTGGTTCGGCCCACCTTGGAATTTGTCCAATGCGGGCGACATTTGCACCTTATCCTCAACGTTTCAAAGCATCCAGGGCTCCACGTCAACACCCAAACACTCTCCAACCGGGCAGTGCTACCTCTCAACGCCAAGCCGTTTCTGAATAGTGGCCCAAAGCAATGACGGACGTCGCTTTATGCATGCACCTGATCGAAGACGGCTCGGATCCCCTTCTGATGACGAAGAACCTGTGGGACGACCTGAAAATAGGTGTGGAGATTCTGTCACCGGCATGATTTGAAACAAACATTCATGAAAAACACACGTCGCGGTGCCTGGGTCCGGTGACCGCGAGCCACGGAGAGAGGTGCTCAGGAGTTCACGGCCAAAAAAGGTACACCGTTACGGGTAGTCCAAAGTCTCCCTTGCAAAATCAGAAATCTTGTATTGGAAAAAAGGGAAGCTCGTTCGTGTTCGTTGCCTCCTCTCCACCGTGTGCGGCTTCCACCGTGGCGCCGGGTTCCCACACTCCCCCACCTCAACGTCCTCAGCTGCAAGGCGAGAGCTACCACCTTCGAACGATAAAAGCCAAAAGAAGGGCGCGGGACTAGCGTGGCACGACCATATCTGGGCCACTCCACCCTCCTACATAGTACCATAGCAACGCTCCCTAAATTCGGCAAGGCGTTCGGCGCTTTGCCACGCATAAGTTACGAGATTCCTATCCTAGCAAGCATGGTATCTTGAACAATACGATACATTCAATCTTCCGTACTCCATGGAATGCTGAGATCTGGGGTGGTTGTTGTATGCGTTGCCCGGCCAGACAACTGACCATCTATGCCCCAAAGGCCGTGGCCTGCTCGAAGAAGGCTGAGCTGTTAAGGGTTCTCGGCTGTTGTTTGATTCCTTGGATCTTCTAGTAGATAATGCAGCGAGCTTCTTTCTGCAACAACTCAGTGGCCAAGGGGATGCCAGTTTCTCGTGTCAGTTGAACAGCCATCCGAAGCGTTCTCTAAAGAGCTCCAATGGCGTTGGTTGCGGCACCTGTTAATTGAACTCTCGAGTTGATCTGGTAGCGCTAAACGGCTCGAGTGCTGACAAAGTCAGCGGGCATTCAGCCATAAGGGCGGCAGACGCGTACAACGGAATCAACCAGTTTCTGGAACTACTTTAGTGGGGTGACATACATCTCGACTTGAATTATGTAATTTTCGATTTCCAGCCCGACATCGTTGGAAGAGAGCTGTCTATCGGTGGACCAAACGGAGATGTTGAAGAAGACGGCCCTTCCAATGCAATGTCCGCGCATCCATAGGTTTGGTACTACACCAATAGAAAGCCATGGGATCCCATGTGCGCGTAGCTGGAGTTCTCGATACCGCAAATCACACAGGTCGCTTTACTGAGCGCTGTATCGCAATCGCTGGCCCAAGTGGAGCGAAGTCCACGTTTCCAAGGAAAGATTGAAAGGTCTTTTCATGCCGCGTTCGGTCGAATTTGGTCCTGAGGGTGGCCCTGCAGAACATGCATTGATATGTTCGCTTATCTGCCTGAACATTTAATATCTGGGACGTTCCTACGGCGCGGTTTCCCCGGCTCTAGGGTCGTTGTCCTTCTTTAACAACGAAGCCGTCCAGTGAGCCCATTGTATTCTGAGCTGTGACCTGATGTGACAGAGCCGCCCGATTGGCTTGAGGCGAAGGCTGAAAGGGACAGAGGGGGAAGAAACTCGCCAGAGGCCCCGCTGCCTGACGGGTTTGGCGCTCTATGCGCCACAGTACGTGAGATAGAGCCCATAGGCGCTGGTTCGTCTTCCGGCGGGGAATGGTGGCAGCGATGAATAAAATCCAGCAGCCTCAATAAGAGAGCTGTTTTCTCTCCGCGGTCTGAACTTGCCACGTCGTCGCCCCTTCACTAACTAGGTGGATATTTGACTGTTGGTGAGACCAGTTTTGTCGATCAGATCTTCTTTCTCCTCACTGCAGGGTAAGGACCATGCCAGCGGTCCTCGCACTGCCGTCTTAAAGACTTGACACTTGCTTTTGGGAGCCTTGCATGCTTGAAGTCAGGGGTGAAACCGTGGAAAGAGCTTGTTGGAGTTTGTACACTTGAATCCAAACGATTTCGTCGTCTTCCCGCATAGAACTGAGTTTCGTAGTTGATAGAATGACGAAATTGGAGAGTCCTGGGAGTTGAGCGCCTGGCTCAATCGGGAGCGCTCGCTGAAGAGGTTATTGCCATTGCTGCCAGCGGGCAGAAGGCACGGGGCCGGGAGCATCTGTAACGATAATATAAGATTAAGAGTGATATTTCGAAGTCTTAGAGTTGGTAGAAATGCAGCTCACGGGTTGCTGTAGCGTAGTCTTATTGTCATTATTCTCCTTGTGGGAGCCAGGGGGTTTTTATTTTTGGAGAAGCGGGGGATAGAGTTGCGAAACGCATTGACACCTCCGCCAATTGGATAGATGCTGATGATCTCGTATAGAAATTCGCCCGCCATGGGAGCGGCGCTCCAGCAGTAGAAGCGTAAACTTCGTCCAAGTCTCGCAGTTGTAGAGGGGTGAATGAAGAGACAGCCCACACCCTAAGGGGACGATGGTAAGACTTACGTAATCACGACCGCGAAAGAATACTCCTTGCTGGAGTTCTAGAGGAGCGACTTTATTCATATTCTTGCCTTATTGTATACATATGCAGGAGAAGCTTGCCGTTTCTTGTGTCGCATAATTAAGATGCTAGAGGTACCTGAGCGCGCGAAAAACCCGCCTTTCGCATATCATTTTGTATATCATTTCCCCTTGACGCCGAGCTCTCATGCCTATGGTATCAGACCGAACCCCCCCTCTCACGGTGTGGAATTCTCCGGGTAGAACGACGTGCGTAATAGCTACTCTAGAGGCCTTCGTGAGTGCGTAAAAGGGACGAGCTAATCTTCCTTACTTGTACGGCGAGCCCTTAGATCCGGGGAATTCCCTACCGCAAGAGCCCCCCTACAAACTCCGAAATCGATGCCTGAAAGAGTTGACGCCACCGAGACCCCGAGTAGCGACGGAGATCAAGCAAGGCCGCTTAATGCTGAAAACCCACTGAAGTACGCGCTTGCGTAGACGCAGCTCCACGCTCCTCATGTCGCCGCATTTTTTACGCCTCTTCCGCAATCTCAACCGTAATGCGAACCACCTCATTCGGTTTGTGACGACCCTTTGAAAGACGGCAACCCGCTGGTGTATGGATCCTTGCGTTGCAGTTGCTGGCTTCGCGGCTCAGAAAAGGAATCTGGAAAGCGCCGAATATGGCAACGAGGGCAGACACCCACCACGCAAGGGGCGTGAAGCGAAGATCAATCGAGAGCCCGTAGAGCAGGCCAGCAATAGGGCTTGCAACTGTTCGACAGGCAGCTCCGGTGCTAGCTGCAAGGCCATTGATCTTGCCCAGATGGCTCGGAGAGGGCGCAGCCTCTTTGACCATGAGCAGGAGGAGCGGATAGGCGACGATCGAGGTGAGGCTTCGGACAGTGAGGCAAGTGTAAATGCCAGTATAAAGAAGGTTCGGCGGGAGTAAGGAAAGGAAGGGAACAATCAAGTAGGCGACAGGGTGACCAAGGGTGACCAAGATCAAGAGCTTCCAGACGCCGAAACACGAAGCAAGGACCGGAAAGACGGCGGCTTGAATGAAGAGCTGAATCAATCCGTTAATGGACATGATAATACCAACATCTTGAAGAGGAATGCCTAGACCGCCCGTGAAATATGCGGGGGAAATTGCGAATGCAGAGATATCATCGGCTCGTTTGTCCTGAAGGAAAATAGGCAACAGGTGATCGTAAGTCATCTAGGGCAAGTCAGTCCATATCTTTAAAATACGGATGGCAGCCTTACCGAATGATATGTGAAGATGCCGAGTGCGAAGACGAAGGTGAGGACGGTCCTCGTAATGACCTTATCATTCGAGGAGTCTTCTATCCATTCGCCATTCGACTTGACGCGCCATAGCTCATCGCGCTGGACATCTACAGCATCGAATGTTCCGTAGCACTCTGTGGTCAAGTTTGCCGCAGCATTGGCGGTGGCGCCTTGAGTCGGCAAGAGCGGCGTTTCCGCGGTAGTGGCATCGAGATCCTCTTGAGTGCTCCATGGCTGCATGTCAGGATGAGTCTCTTCAAGAAGAATGTAGCCTGCAAAAATGGCAATGACGAGCAACCCAGTGCAAATGACGTTGGGAAGAAGATACGGGAACTTGGCAAAGAGGCTGGAACGAGAAAAGAGAGACGGAAAGTTGTCTGCCGGTTCCGCGAAACTACCTCCTAAGGCGGCTTGCGCAATCAGTACATAGTAGAGAAGCTGACAATGGGGGAGGACTGCTTACGTCCGATGATGGTTCCGATACTCCACACAAACGGCATAATGGCATAGGCTTTCGCTGAGTTTCGGTCAGCCAAGCGTCCAATCCATCCGGGGTGCCTACTCACGTTCTTGCTCTGGCTTTTTAACCAGCTCGCCAACCATGGTCTGTATTACGCCGATATTGCCATTGAGGACGCCCCCAAGGACCCGGCCAGCGAGCGCGACCCAAAAGTTGGACGCGAATCCGACGACTAGCAGTGAGGAGACGGTGCCCAAGCAACCCATAAGCAGGACTGGCTTACGACCTATCCGATCCGAGACACCGCCCCAGTACATGCCGCTGCAGGCTTCGGCGAGAGAGAAGGCAGAGATGAGGATGCCCGCAAAGAAGGGGGCTTGCGATTCAGGGGTGCCATAGTGAGCGGCGAGCTTTATGGCATAGGGGAAAATAGAAGTGAGGGCGATGGGTTCCGCGACTCGAATGAGGGCTGTAGAATGGGTCAATTGTTGTTTGTTGGCGAAATGGGTGGCCTGATTGCAGACGGGAGCGCACTCACCGAGGAGAAAGAGCTGGGCGGTCGGAAACTCGTCCGGATTGCGGGGGCTTGTTCTTGGTTTGGTGAGTCCTAACATATCCTTGAACCTGACTTGTCTCTTACGTCTACGCCAACACGCAAACAAGTCGCAGGCGCGGCGGCGTGGGCGCTATGCTAAGTTAGAGCGCTTGCTTGCGTCTGGCGTCGGGGACCGCAATCTGAAGAATGATGCGGGGATGGAGCCGCAAGCAGAGAAGAAAAGACGCCGACAGGAAGTGTGGTTGAGGAATGAAGAGGGAGGAGGGAAGAACGAACGAGAAGGAGCGAGAGCAGGTGGGAAAAGTGGTCCGCGAGTGGCACGACCCAAAGGGAAGTTTGGCCGGCTCCGATCGGCGGCCCATGCGTTATCGGTGCCACCTGCAAGCACATTCCTTGGGTACATGTACCTCTGCATGCGGTTTGTCGCCGCCAAGCTCCCACGTGACGACCTTCTCGGGCGTACAGAGGCAGGGTCCCGCTCAAGATATCAAAGCAGTGGTCCATTGCTCTGAGGATGCGTTAGAACGGCGCCTGTTGTCTGTCGGGGAACCGTGCTAGCGAGCGGTAGCAGGGATCTAAGCGATGCGCTAGTGACTAGCGTATGTGGGGTCGCTGAGCCTCCCCGACCTCCCGCCTTGCTTCCGCGTCTTTTCTGTGCGCGCCAAGAGAGCAGAGGCCCCTTCGCCGTCGTTTCATAGAGGTTTGCTGCCTCACAATAACCTCATCTCATGCCGATGCCTTGGTCAAACGTCGCCCGCCCGCCCTCGAGCTGCAAGTTCTAGCATGGGCCTTTCGTTACCTTGTGACCAGAAGAGCGTTCAATAAGTTGATGCTGCAGGCCACCGGCTGGTCTAGATGTGCATCATGCGCCGTCACTGCCGTGGACCAGAGCCGGCGCCCAATGAGACGGGAGGAACAGCTACATTAGACGCGATTGGATGCAAGTGCTCCTCGGGCTTCACAGGCTGATAACTGATCGCGCAGCGCTCGCCATCCCTAGTGTTGAAATATCGAAGTTAGAATATGATGTGAAGGAGCTGGACACGTATAGCCCTTGAGATGAAATCGAATTCATTAAGAGCCGATATCCACACTATTCACCAACTCCCAAACGCACCCATCATCATTGTCACAGTGACCCAAACCCATGCTGTCATATCCGTCATGCCCATCCCCGCCCGATAATGAAATTCGTCAACCTGGATTCTCCATTCCATCCTTGCAAGCAGCTTAGTAGACACTTAGGTTGTAGTCGGAGCAGTGGCGGGAGCACTGCTCTCGGAAGCCTTGGCGCAGCCCGAGCAGGCGCACTTGCCCTCGGGACACGGGCATTTGCCAGCCTCCGCGTGGCAGTTGCACTGCGTCTTGTCGCTGCCAGGGAGAGTATGCACGCCGGCCTCCTCCACGGACGGCATTCCCCCGGACGCGGCACCGCCCTGACCCTGCTCCTTCTTAAGATCGGCAAGATGGCGCGCCTCGTTGTGGACATCCATAACAGTCTTGTTGCCCGTCGCGTAGAACTGCCTCAGCTTCTGGCCTGTAGGAGTGCCGGTCGCTCTGTCGAAGTATGAGACTAGACCGCGCCAGCCAGCAACAGCCTTATCCGTCACACCAAACTTCGTATCGACTGCCTGCGCCTTCTGGGTGGCCTGGAAGCGCTGGTCGAAGTTCTGGAGGGCGTTCGTGAACTTGGTGCTGATGCCGTGCTGCTGGTCGACGGCGAGAGCCCGCTCGATGGCCTTGTCAGATATGACGTAGCCGTGGGCAAGGTACTCGGCGATGATGCGAGCGCGCGGCTTCTCCTCCTGCTCGATGTGGTGGTCACCGTCCTTGGCTTCCTCCGGAGAGGCAGCCTTGTCGCCGGCGAGCTCATCGATAGTCTTAGAGGAAGAAACGTGCACGCTGTTCGGGCCGAGTTGGGTGTTATCCAACAGCAGGGCGGTTTTGGCAGCGGCGGGCTTCTCAAAGGTGACGGCGGCGGATTGGGTGTCGTTCTCGGTCGGGGTTACGGAGAGGGACGAGATCTTGCCGCAGAAGCTGAAGAATGATTTGATCTCATCCTCACTCGTCTTTGAGGAGATGTTCTCGACGTGTACGGTGGTAGACATGTCTGCGGGATGTCTGTTCAGAGGTGGTTCGATCGAGGTCTGTGCCGGTTGAGGGTATCAAGTACGAGGTTGCTGGCAACGAAGTTGTGTTTTTGGGCAGTGTGAGTGATAAGGAAGAAAGACGGTGGTCGGGCGGGGTCGTTTTTATTATGCGTCGTAATTGCGGATTTCGAAAGCACAAGGGAGGGGCGAAGTAAGGGCAGCACGCGGCCCATGACGTCGTGTGGCGGTGCACAGTTGGCGTTCTAGAATCCGCACGAATGCTTTCGCAGAAAATTCGCGGAACACGCTTTCACATGCAATACGAGGCTTGCGCGTAATGGCAATTGACCGCTATTGGATGTAGTCGTGCAGATGCAGAAAACCTTGCGAAGGCGGTCGCAGAAAGGTCTGTCTAGCACGCTCGGGCCACAATGGAAAGCAACCAAAGCTGGCGCTCTAGTAAAGGAGAATGGAGGAAACCCACGGATTGAAGCTGCAGAGCTGGATACAGGAACCGAAAGCCCATGCAAACGTCTAATCGGACATGCACATGTACAAGAACCCTCATCGCAGTCGTCTCTATCTTACAACCTGGCCTTCTCCTTGAAAACCGCCTTTTCCTTGGGCCCAATAAGCGGGTCATACACGTTGCGACCCAATGTATCCTCCGGTACAACCGCCGTGTGCATGCTCAGGCCTCGAGTATCCACCAGCGTAGGGTTTAGATCGGAGACCTTTGCCGCACCAATCAGTCGCATGTTCATCTCCATCTCATCCTTGAGGAGCTGCATGGCGCGGTCTACACCCGGCAAACCGTATGCTGACATTGCGTAGAGGAATGGCCGTCCAATACCAACACCCTTCGCGCCGAGGCAGAGAGCTTTGATGATGTCGGTGGCTCGCCGTACACCACCGTCGATGTAAATCTCAATGCGGTCTTGCCATCCGCGTTCGCGGAGGACGGGCATCACCTCGGCTAGCACCTCGATACCAGATCGCGCGAAGTCGAGCTGGCGGCCGCCGTGGTTGGAGAGGACCACACCGTGGACGCCCGACTCGATGGCACGAATAACATCCTCAACGCACTGAACACCTTTGAGGAGAATGGGCATCTTAGTGATGCTGAGGAACCACGGGATATCCTTCCAGCTCAAGCTAGGGTCGATGAAGGATGAAATAGCGCGGGCAGCACCCTGACTTCGGTCCACGTCGTCGCCGGAAGTCGATTGTACGTTGGACCCGACATCAGCAAACTTGGACCGCATATCCTTCTCGCGGCGGCCGAGCTGAGGCGCATCGACTGTGATGAACAGACCCTTGCATCCACGCTTCTCAGCATGCTGAACGATCCTCTTCGTGATGTTCCTGTCCTTGTTTACATAGAGTTGTAGCCATTGGACCTGACCAGGCTCTGCAGCGTCGCAAATCTCGTCGAATGAGCACGATGCTAATGTTGGGATCATCTGGATGACGTTGTGCTTCTTTGCGCCTCTCGTCAGAATGACTTCTCCCTCTGGGTTTCCGAGCTTGCCAAGCGCCGTTGCAGTGACGTAGAAGGGCATGTCAACTTTTGTGCCGAGCATCGTGGCAGTGGTGTCGATGTTTTCGACATCTACGAGGACCCGCGGACGGAACCAGATCTTGTGGTAGGCGTTGTGGTTCTCGCGCATAGTCTGTCTATAGTCAGAAATGATGGCTTCAAGCCGCGATGCGCGGACTTGGGACTCACAATCTCATCATCGGCGCCGCTCGAGTAGTATGCCCACGCGGTCCTCTTCATAACCTTCCGGGCAACAGCCTCAAAGTCCATGAGATTGTAGCATTGTTCCAGGATGGGCATCGTCTCAATGCGCTTTTGCCTCTCCTCCTCCTCTGGATCATACTCCTTCTCTTCCCGCTGCACGGTGTTCATATCCACTTCTCCCAAGTGCTTCGACTTGTCCAGGTACTTGTCGAGCGTGTCGGGAGGGTGGATGGGTTCATACTCTTCGGTCGCGTCTTTGCCGGCGTACTTGAGGATGATCTTTGGGCCGCCGGGGTGCTCTGGCAGGAATTCGGTGACATCGTAGGCGCGGCCGTGGACAATGACCCAGCACGAGTCCTTGTTGTTGTGCTGGGCGACCTCCTCGCCGGTCAGCTTGACGACCTGCGTGTCGTTGCTGTCGTGGTTCATTGTTGCGGCTGTGGCGTGCGGTCAGTTGAGCTGCCAGAGCACGGAACAGCGCGCGGAAGGTGTAAGCGACGGAAGACAGAAGCAATCCGGAGTCGCAGTCGCAGTCGCTCTCCCAGGCGAAAGCTAGTGTAGGTCCCTACTTATTCCCAGCCGCTGGAGCTGCCGCTGCGGACGGAATGTCAAGGGTGATGACGGCGATATCTTTCGGCATCGCCTCGGTCCATCTCTCCCCGCAGTGTCGGATCTGGGTCGGCACTTCGTAATTCCGCTACTGCCATAGGACATCTTGGGGAACTTCGACGTCTGTCTGCTCAGATACCTTTGTATGACATCGGCCGCCGCCGTTCGCGGGCCCTCTTGTCCAGAATGGGATGCGGGGAGACTGAAATGCTGAAATGCAGGGCCAATCATGGATGACGCAGACTCGGATGCAAGCGCTAGCAACCGGCTGCTTTTCCAATAAACAAACGCGGAGCGGCCGCTTCGATCACAACATCCCTCATCGATTGCCCTCTGCTCCATCGCGACGCTCATTATGATAGTCGGATATTGCCCGTTAGATCAGTCACATGGCTCCTCCCCCAGCCAAGCCGAACCGCGCCCCCCGCGCCAAACGACCGACGGGCATTGTCACTTGTTGACGAGCTGAGTCGCCCCGTACATCACTCCTCCGTCGAACCCGTGAGACCTGCTACGGCTTCTCTGCGACACTCTTTCTGCTGCACGCCATGCGCCTGGTACTGCGACCGCCTACCGCACTGCCTTTTGTTGCTCCTCAGGCCGAGACAGCCAGGCCGGTGGCTGCAGCACTCACTTGAAGACAGATAGTCTGCCACACCCCGTCTTATTCTCCGGCGCTCGCAACCCGAATATACTTATCCACCCCGCACACGCAGGTAGTGCGCACTCCACACGAGGCCCATGGCGAACAGTCTCGAGGCAAAGATCGTGGTGCTTGGGAGCCAGGGCGTTGGGAAGACTTCGCTCGTCCATCGCTACGTCAAGAATGCATTTACGCCGCCCACGACTCAGTCCACAATAGGCGCGTCCTTCCTGACGAAGCGAGTCATCGATATCGATACGTCCACCGTTGTGCGCTTGCAGATATGGGACACTGCCGGACAAGAGAGGTTTCGGTCCATCTCGAAGCTATACTACAGAGGTATGTTTGGAGTCGCGCACGTCTTAGTGCGTGGGCGCAAGCCCATCACCCGGAATTTTTTGTTGCCTCAGCTCTTGCCCCTTTTCCACCTCCAGGCTCCCCTACATCTCGCGTCCCCACAGCGTGACCCTGCACAGGTGCCCAATCCCGACTTTGGGCTTCTATGGCCTTGGTCTGAGCTCGGGCATGCAACTCACACGCATACATTGGCAAGCAAAGGCTGACCTTGGGAAACTACTAGGTGCGAACGCGGGAGTGCTATGCTACGATATCACCGATCCGCATTCCTTTGAGGAAATGGGCCGTTGGCTCAAAGAACTCAAGCAGAACCTCGGAGACGACATAGTCCTCCATGTCGTAGGAACCAAGTCGGACATGGTTGCTGAAGACCCTTCGAAGCGCCAGATCCCGTTTGAGCGGTGCATCGCATACGTCGCAGAGCATCTGTACCCAAATCAAACCGCACAGGGGCAGCCAGTCCCGGCAGGGTGGCAGAGCGGCGGCATGGCGTCCCCGCAGAGTAATCGATCAAGTGGGTTCTGGGGACAAGACATCGGCTGGGACTGTTGCCACGAAATAAGTGCGAAAGACGGGGAAGGCGTAGACGAGGTCTTCAGGGTTATTACAAGGAAACTGGTGGAACAGCAACAGCGGAAGTTTGAAGAGGAACAGAAGCAACTCGCGCTAGCTGGTATCACTCCAGGCATCAACAGCACCGGGAGCGCCAATGGCTACTTCGACCATCCCGGCGGCGGAAACGGCAGTTTCAGAGTGGGAGCTGGCGATAAGAGACGGAGTTGGATGGGTTTCCCCGCCACGCCCGCCGTTGGCGGCGAACGGCACGAGTGGGAGGAAGACGTGGACAGAATACGGAAGAGCAAGGGAGGGAAGTGTTGCTGATGCTTTCCCTCGGACCACCTCAAACCACCCTACGACCCTTCATCCTAGCTCGAGCATCTTCCTGGATGGCTTTCTACGATTGCGCATCACGATCGGCTTCCATTCGAGATACCAAATTATCTTTCGATACCCACTTTGTTTGCATAGCAAAAGTTCATGCACTTTTTAGGCTTTTGCATACCTTCGGTTTGCTCATATCCCGAAGACACTTCGATGTCAGACCATCGGATGCCGTGCTACCCAATCACCAACCTACTGTTGCAGCTGGAGGCCAGCCGAGCTGAGTCGAGTCCGATTTGCCCTCTTGTATTTTCTTTTTGCCTGTATCTTGTATCATACTGCATAGCGGTTTTTTTTTTTGGTCACATGTAGCGTAGCAGCAGCACAGGGGATTTCGTGGGACGCGAGTATGAATAGGAAGTATATTCTAGGTATAATCAACAGCCAAGCAATGTATCCATGGGGTATCTTCTCATCCAATCCCGTTCCCATCATCTATCGTGAGTGACGTGAATCTATATGCATCTAGTTTTCGATATGTGACGTTCTAACGAAGATGCTGAGCAGAAATAGTCAATCTCCAACAACCCAATTGGGTCCAGCCCTGATATGCTTCTTCCCCAGCCATAGCAAGCTTCTTTCTCCCACATGATCCATGTTGTCTCACATTCTTTGACCCGTTTCCCTCAGGTACTCTATTCCCTGTCGAAAACCTTGACGCCAAACTTCCACACCTGATCAACCACTAACTTCTTCTCCGCGCCAACCTCACCAACTTGAAAATCCAGCACCACCAAATCCGCATCAGCCCCCTCTTTCAACGTTCCCTTCACATCTTCCATGCCCAGCATCTTCGCCGGCGTTTCCGTAACCGCTTTCAGCGCCTCGGGCACACTCGCGCGCGTCCAGTTTAGGAAGTTGTTCACGCAGTCGATGAGCTCGATGCTGCTGCCTGCAATCTTCCCATTCTCTTCAAGCGTGAGCAAGTGGCCCTTTTTGATGATGCGCGACCCGTTTGTCCAGTCGTAGGTCCCGTCGGGCATACCGGCCAGCCGCATGGCGTCGGTGATGAGGATAAGGCCGTCGGGGTGCGCGTTCCAGGCGATCTTGATGGAGGTCGGGTGGATGTGGATACCGTCGGATATGATGCCGAAGTACGGCTTAGAGATGGAGGAGGATTCGGTGCCGAGCAGGCCGAAGATGCCTGGGTTGCGGTGGTGCAGGGGCTTCATCGCGTTGAAGAGATGAGTTATCTTGGTCGCGCCGGCTTTAATGCCGAGCTTTGCTTCTTCGTAGGTAGCGTCTGAGTGGCCGATAGATACGATGATGCCGCGTTCTCTGAGGGACTGGATGCAGGATAGCGCGCCGGGGAGTTCGGGGGCGAGCGTCAGGAGCTTGACGGGCGGCGATGCGAGGTTTGAGGCGCCGTAGCAGGTCAGCATGTCGGAGATGCCGTTTGGTGCTGTCTGCAGAACTTCAATCTTGTGGATGCCATTCTTAGCCGGATTGATGAAGGGCCCTTCGATGTGGGCGCCGAGAGACTCGGAGCCTAGGGAGGGGTCTCGGGAAGCACCTGAGGGGCCCAGGTAGGGAACTGCCGTGTGATAGACGTCGGGCCGCTGCGAGGTAACCGTGGGCAGGTAGGATGTGACGCCTCTAAGGATGAGGTTCCTGTTCACTCGCTGCACCCCCTTGCTGTAGCCCGCGGCGCCGTCCTCCGGGATGAGGGAGAAGTCGAAGCCAAAGGCGCCGTTGAGTTGCACATCCATGAGGCCGGGGGACAGGATGCGACCGCCCAGGTCGACGATGCTATCTGGAGCTGTGCGCTGGCCGTAGAGTATCTCTTGCCCGTTCAAGATCTTGCCGGTCGCCGAGCTTACCCAGAGGTCGTCGTTGACGAGTTCTTTGCCTTTGACCAGCAGGCAGTTGGTGAACTTGATGACGCCGGAGCGCTCGGCATGGGCAGCAGTGCCGTTGGGGCGCATAGCAGACGGCATGGCGAGGGCGGGGACTGCAGAGAGACGAGGCGCGCAGGTGACAAGTGACGAACGTGGATGACCGGAAACGGAAGGAACGATGTGGTCGAGGGCGGTTGAGACTCGCTCAACAACGGTTGCAAGGGAGCAGCGCCGGCCCTTCTTTTTATCAGTGCTACATGCTTACCATCTCGCTCGCGATGACGCCGCCCATCCGTCACGAGCAGGGACTTTTGTCGGGGTCGTGTCAGCGGGCGTTCGCCGCTTCAGAGCGCAACGTGCCCGTTGGCGGGCACGGGATTAGCGGGAAGCCGATGCGACACAGCGACGAGTAAGTCGAGCAGCAAGCAGGAGATCTCGGCCGGTCGCCGGTGGCAGGCAGGGTGGTATCAGCTAACAGCGAACAGCGAACAGCGACCAGCGACCAGCGACCAGCCAACCAGGCCGGGACGAGGCGAGGCGTCGACAACAAGGGGCCCTAGCGCCTTCGCCTCGGTCCGCCGTGGATGCAAATGCTACCGTTGCAGACACACGCCTCTTCCCCATCTCTCACAGTTAACAAGCCGCGCCGGGTCACGTTCAAGCCTCAACTGCCCCATCGCTGAGTCGGTCCGCGTCGACACGCCTACGCGACAGGCACTGTCGTCATCATGGCCGGCAATGGCAAGCCCCATCAGCTGGATCCCGTATGGGATGATCTCGATAGGTGCGCTTCCCCAGATGCTTCTTGTCCGTCGAGTTCCCCGTGTGGTGCATCTCGCGCGCTAACCAGCCCATGATGCAGGACTATGGTGGGCCTCTTGTTCGCTACTGTCCGTCGGCAGTCAGTGCATCGGACTAACGTCTGCCGTCCAGGGCCAACTGTTCATGATGGGCTTCGATGGGACCGCCGTCACGCCGCACATAAAAGAACTCATCGAAAAGCGGCATCTGGGCTGTATTCTGCTAACTGCCAAGAACCTGAAATGTGAGAAACACATGTCTCAGAGTGGCAGCGTGTGGCTGGCAAGCCTGCTAATATGCGACAGCCGCCGAGGACACTACCAAGCTGTGCTATGAACTCCAGAAAATCGCCCACGATGCCGGCCACCCAGTCCCGCTGGCCATCGGCATCGACCAGGAGAACGGAGGGGTCAATAGCCTCTTCGACGAGATCTATATTCGCCAATATCCAAGCAGCATGGGCATTGCCGCTGCAGGTTCTACAGACCTCGCGTTCGAGGTGGCCAAAGCAACCGCTCAAGAGATATCGGCCTGCGGAATCAACTGGATATTCGGCCCGTGCTTGGACGTACTCACGAATGCTCGAAACCAGCCGCTGGGAGTTAGAACGGCGGGCGACGACCCTCAAGAAGTCTCCGCGTACGGTGTCGCCTTCATGAGAGGCTACAAGGAAGCCGGTGTTGTTACTCTGGGAAAGCACTTTCCGTCCTATGGCAACCTGGAGTTCCTTGGCTCGACCTTGGATGTTCCCATCATCACAGAATCTCTGGAGCAGCTGAGCCTGAGCGCTCTGATCCCGTTCCGAAACGCTATTCGCCAAGGGCTTGATTCGATGATGGTCGGTGGCTGCGCCATGTCATCGGCCGGTCTCAACGCCATGCATGCCTGCTTATCAGAGCAGGTTGTTGACGGATTACTGCGCACCGACTTGAATTTCGATGGCGTGGTCGTCTCCGAGTGCCTAGAGATGGACGCCCTCAGCCACAACATCGGCGTCGGTGGCGGCACCGTCATGGCTGTCAATGCTGGCTGCGATGTCGTGCTGCTATGTCGGTCGTTTTCAGTCCAGCTGGAAGCCTTGAAGGGACTCAAGACTGGAATCGAGAATGCCATGATCTCCAAGGAAAGGATCTACAACTCTCTTCGCCGGGTACTGAATATGAAGTCAAAATGCACGTCGTGGGAGAAGGCGCTACATCCACCCGGTATCAGCTTCTTGGAGACCATACAGCCTTCACATTCCGCTCTCTCGACCAAGGCATACAACGGCTCCATCACCGTGGTTCGCGACAAGAACCGTCTCCTGCCGCTCACCAACATTGTTGATAGTGAGGAAGAGCTGCTGCTACTAACGCCATTGGTGAAGCCGTTGGCCGCCTCTGCCGCTTCCCGGGCACTGTCCGACTCTGCCGCTAATGCGTCGCCAGAGCCTGCAGCTTGGGAGCGGAGTGCATCTGTGATGAGCGGAGAGCGGGTTTTCAGAGAACTTGGGAGATCTCTGGCAAGACAGCGCAACGGACGGGTGCTGCACACGTCTTACACAGCCAATGGGGTCCGTCCAGTGCACGAGAACCTGATCAATAGGGCAAGCGCTATCATCATCATCACGGCAGACGCCAATCGCAATCTCTATCAGCACGGCTTTACGAAGCATGTCTCTATGATCTGCAACATGCAATACACCACCGGTGGCGAGAGGCGCGAAAAACCACTGATCGTTGTCGCAGTCAGCTCGCCGTATGACTTCGCCATGGACTCATCGATAGGCACCTACATCTGCACCTACGACTTTACAGAGACAGCTCTAAACTCGCTGGTCAAGGTCCTTTATGGAGAGCTTGCACCTACCGGAAGCCTGCCGGGAACGATCAGCAAGAGCCAGAAGCTTCACCATTCGAGACAACATTGGCTGGTGGAGACGTTCAACGAGGAGCGAGACTCGAACGCGCTGGATACCCTCATCACGGCGGTCATGGACGGCACCCCGCCAAACCAACGCTCAGAGCTGTCCAGCGCGACGTCGAATTCCTTCATCCTGCACCATCCGGAGGTGGAAGAATCTCACTTTGTTGTTCGCAACAGTAGCACACAAGCACTCTACGGCTTCTGCTCGACGTACTTCTTCAAATCGACTGGCACAGGCGTTATCGGCGCCCTATTCGTGGACCCCGCGCGAAGGAAGTTATCCATTGGCCACTCTCTTCACAACCGAGCCATTCGGACGCTCTTGCAGAAGGATGGCATCAAACGGTTCCAGTTGGGCTCGCGCCTACCGAGCATATTCCTAGGTATCCCAACAGGCCACGGTGCCGAGCGGAAACGGCTGCGCTCGTGGTTTGCTAATCTCGGGTGGAACGCTGCACTCTCTCGTCCAGTGTGCAACATGGTGGCGCGCAATCTGCAAATATGGTCACCACCGGAGGGAATGGCAAAGAGCCTGGCTGGCGCTGGCTCTCAATTCGACCTCGTATACGGATGGGACTATGCGGGCCCGATTCTCGATCACATCAAAACGAGTAATCGACAGGGCTTGGCGGAGGTGTACAAGCTTGCGCTCTCGGACCCGTCGGCTTGTGGGATAATCCGGGCGAAACGGCCCGAGGACGGGGCGCTCGTGGGTACGGTCGTCCTGTACAATAGCCACTCGCGCCTTTCGGAGTTTATTCCCCCATTGAAGGATCTGAAGGAGGCTGCTGGCGGGATCTCGTCGCCGGTCATCTCTCCCGGCGTAGGAGAATACTCGACGCTGCTCCAGGGACTGGTGCTGCTCGGAATGCGGCAGATCAAGGCGCAGGGGTGCAACGCCTGTTTGCTCGACTACGTAAGGACGCACCGATTACCCTTCCTAGTAGTCAGATACAAGCTAACTTGCGAGTAGATGGATGGCGATGGCAATTTTGACGGCTTCTCGGCCATGGGATTCGAGGTGCTGCACAATTTTGAGGAGGTCAGCTGCGATGCGGCGACCTGGACTATGATCCCACCCTCTTGATTGGAATTGGTAAACGGGCTGGCGCAATAGGAATTCAATGTTGTACGATGACACTAATGAGAGAAAATATGTGGGGGAGAGGGGGGGGGGATTTCTGGATACCCTGGCGCTAGGGGTCAAGGTCCTGTAGTACTACTGCCTCGATGGGGACATGTTGCGATAGTCGCAATGAGCACCATGCAGGTACCCAGCACTGCCCGCTTTGAGGACGATCGACTGCACGCATCAGCGTCTTATGCTCTTGCACGTGACGAGGGTGATACAGGGCTGTCGGTCGGAGTTCGGGGCGTTGGGGCGGTAAGTTTCGACGGCAGCACGAGCCAGGCAGTTGGCGAGCTTGTTTTTGGGCTCTTTGGGGCTAAGAAAACCCAGACGTGCACCCGACGTTCGATCAGGAGAGCTCTCTCGACGGCTGTGGGAGGCCTGACGGCGGAAGAGCAGAAGAGGTTGAATTAGAGCTCGCCTGGAGCCGACTTATTTTTAACGGCGGCCGGTGGAGCCCCGCGGCGGCCCATTCGCTCGAAACACGGGCGGGCTGGGGATGGCGTTGCTGGGCCCCCCGCTGATCCCCTCGCTGCCCGAGTCTTAACGGCGCCGCGCGCCTTCGAGAAGCGCTCTCGAAGCCTTCCAGAAGAGGAGGCGCCGTTGTGCGATAATGTGCACGTAGATGCTGCAGCAGCGCGGCCGGCCTTGCCGCCGGCCAGCTGGCTTTGCGCACGGGAGCGCAATCGAGGAAGACTTCCGCCGGTCTTGGCCAGCGCTGCATGTGATCTCTTCGGGCGCCCCAGCCCGTCGCACAGCTTCAGCGCCGGCGCCGGCGACGCCAGAACAGCGTTATTGCTTCGTCCCATCCCACCGCCTGTCGCATCCGCGCTGCATCTGGTGGCCGCCGCTCCCGAGCGCATCTCCTCCTGCTCCTCCCAGGTACCACGCGGCTGACTGAGCGTCGTCCACTTCCGCCCGTCCTCGCCAGCCCACGCCGCACCCCCCCAGCCTCTCCTCACCACCCCCAACGCATCCTCCCCCCATCTGTGCAAATATCGCCGCCCGCCGCCCGCCGCTTCACCTGCCCTCCGCCGCCGACCATTCGCTCCACGCACGCTGCTAGCGCTGCTCCTCCACGCATGCGCATGCGCTGCCTCCCGCCCGCACCGCTTCCCCAGCCGGCCGCGACCGCACACGAGCCATGGAGGGCTTCGACACCATCACCATGTCCTACTTGGCGGGCCCAATGTCACTCCAGAACGTAACCAGCGCAGACCAACAGCTCTCGGTGCCGATGCTCCCGCTCGACTCGCTGGACCAGCGCTCTAATTACGACGCTGAGACCTTCGTTGGGTAAGCAGTGCCGCCGGCCATGAACCTCTCTCTGCTGACTTTTCTGCGCAGCAGCGAGGACGCATTCGGCCAGCACCACATCCAGCCTCCGCCGCCGCTGAAGCGCTTCTCGAGCGCGTACGAAGATCCCTTTTCCGACGTCCTTAGCGGCTACGACCAGCCCCTCCACGCCGACCACAATGGCGCGCCCGAAAGCCCCAGCATCGAGCGCGACAACAAGCTGCTCAGCTTCTCGCTGCCCAACGTCCCGTACCCGCTGCTCAACTATGCCATGCAGCGCGTTACCATATCCATGTCCGCCCAGCTCCACGGCATGTTCTTCCTTGCCGAGTCGCCCTGGGCCTCCGCCGGCGATGTTGCAGCCGCCCCGACCGAGCTCACCTGCTACCGGCGAAATCTCTTCCAGATTACAGGAACCATCACGCTACCGCGAAGTCTGCAGTTCCTCATGACCGAGCAGGGCGATCAAATCCCCATCCTCGGCCAGGAGCTTACCATATCCGCCACTGAGTCGCTCGAGGGCAACCCAGTGAAGATCATATCGGTGCCATGGAAGACGCCAGCGAGCAGCACGGCTGTTGTCGAGGATAAAACGGAGAAAGAGCCGCCCTCGTACCCGCTCGACCTCTCCACCGGCCAGGATATGGACTCGGACTATGTTAATTTCCCCATCAGCTGGAAGAGGCTGCAGTTCCGGATAGCGACTGCGAACAACGGGCGCAGGAAGGAGCTACAGCAGCACTTCGTCGTGCGGCTCAAGGTCGTGGCCACGCTCGCGACTGGAGCCAAAGTGCCAGTATGCGAAGTGCATTCTGGAGCCATCATTGTACGAGGACGGAGTCCCAGGAACTTCCAGTCTCGTAAAGATATGCCCATCAGCGGAGGTGGCGGATCCATCCGCAAATCTCACCCTCCGCATCAGCCAACCAGAACCTCGACGGGTGATACGAATCAGACGAACCACAGCAATACCCACGCTCACCCTACGCCGACCAGCAAGCCCATGGATTCGCTACAGCTGCCCTTCGACTTCAACCCGAACGATCCTCTGATCTCCCCTGACTTCAGCCTGGATTGGAAGATGCCCGGCGCCATGACCGCCATACCGCCAGATCCGCCATCCGCCCAGATGCCGCCCGTCACGCCATATGCTCAATCGACTCCCGAGATCTCAAGAAACTCGGCACCACCACCACGATCGAACATGGCTCCCGTCTCGCTGTCGTTGACTGACGACGAGCCAAAGAAGTCCGCATCTCCGTCAGAGCATAAGAGCAAGCGAGCAACTCCAGCAAGACCGCCTTCGTTCTCCGTGAACCTCATCAGCAGCCCCGACGAGAGCGCCGATCTGCTGTACGAATATTTCCCGCTTGGTCTTGATGACTGGATGCCACCCGTCGACGCCGTCTACCGCCCACACGTCGTCCACCACACGAACCTCCCGCAAGATCCGAAGGCGCTTGCCGTAAAGAACAAATCGAAACGCTACTTTTCCGATGTTTGGTGACAATTCCTTTCTCGCTCAGATACCCCATTTCTTTTTCGTTTGGAGCGTTCTCGGCAAGGCCGTCACGACCGTACAATGATTTTCGGACGATTTACGACTGCAGCTTGGTTTGGTTGGTAGCTTGCAGCTTGGGCCAGTGGTCTAGCCATGTACGGTTCGAGGAGGATACACATAGGCTAGTACCGTGGTAATACAAATATTTGGGGAGGATGCGGAGGCGGAGTCGCCGTGTGGTACCGGATCAGCGTCGATTGTGGATTCCCGATCGTGGCAACTACCGTTCTAGCCGCCTATGTCTCAATCTCCCACGCCCCCCGGAGCTCCCGCCGACTGTGGAGAGGAGGCAGCATGCCGAGATTGTTTATTCTTCAGGGCGGAAAGACGTTGAATCTGGATGGGTTCCGGTAGGATCGATATTCCGGAGCGTTCGACGGATGAGCAAAGAGCGAGGGAACGAGGAACCGCGATAGGAAAGAGACGAATTCGGAGCTGCAGCTGAACGCGCGTATACAAAATTCGAATTGCCACTTCGGCCAATTCCCGGCTACCAGATATCCATCCTCCGCCCGCTTTTGAAAAGATGGCAGACGAAATAGGCAGAAGGGGAGTACAAGCATGGTGTTTCGAAAAGAAAGGATAATGAACGCAGATGAGGGACGAATGTATTTTTGAATAGGGCTCTGCAAGCAGCATTATATCCCAGATCTTAGTCAAATCATGCTTATTCCTTCTTTCGTTCGCTCCGTGGCCAGCCCCCTCGCGTACTCCGCATAGGTACTCCGCCATAAGCACTCAAATCCAGCAAGGCCAGCTCACGCTCAGCTCGGATCATTCTGACACGAAGGATGGCGAATCGCAGGCGCCGCAGTGCTTGCGTGCTCGCCCACTACTGCGACATGCACTCTCCGCTCTGCTACCTTCTCCACACCAGCTCGCCTCACCGTTCGCAAGCAATCCAACCCACCACGTAAAACAGGCTCGACGACGCACGAGCAAAAAAAAAAAGGCAACATTTGGTTAATTCCCTTGATGATCGGCCGACGTACACATCTCATCTATACCTATTACCCGTACGCATCAACATTTTCTAGAATACCGTCACCTTCACACCTCCCTAATCCGTCCCTCGATAACTCCTTGCGAATTCATGTGCCAACCGAGTTCTGGGTTCGGCCATTGTGTGGGTTGTGTTGTCTGTGTGGTGGGAGGGAGATAAGTCGATGGTCGCCCGCGATGCAACGTTAACCTTTTTCTCTCATCTGGGAGCCGAAGACAGGCCGAAGCGAGCTTCAATCGCTCGCAAACAGTAGGCGTTAGTCTATCGGGGTTAAAGCCTCATGGAGAGTTATGTTATCGTATACATAAGACGGTGCGGTGGTAGCCGCCTGCGTTTCATTCTGCAACATGGAGCGGAATTCTTGTCAAGTGCGTGGTTGCAACCACGAGCGGGCTCAGGATAGCTAGTGACTACGTGGTCCCTGTGGCGTTTGGATGCTAATGATGGATGGATATGTAGTGGGACGTATGTACGGAGGGGCGATGGAGGGGGATTTCGTGGGCGTTGAGGAAGGGTGGGTTGAGGATCTTGGAGTGTATCATCGTGGTGGTACCCGCATGCGAGATGTGGGTACCCGGTTTTCGGACCGTCCACAGCTTCGTATCTCGAAAGTGAAGGGACTCCGCTTTGGGTTGCTTGTGGGGGACTCTGTCTATAGGTATTGACACGTGAAGCAAGATCGTTGTATCGATTCCGTCAACATATGCTGCGCGGATTGACGCTTGCGGCAAGCCATGGGGCCTCATTCACGGTTCCTCTCGTATTGAGGCAGCGTTGATACCCTCTCCGTCGGCCGAGCAGACGCGATATGCAACAATGCCATTGTACGTCTCGCTAGCAATGTCTCGTCCTTGCATCAGGGTCCGGTGGCGTCTGTCACCGGTGCACTTAGCTGACCTGAACCGCTTACCTCCCCACACTGACTGTCCATCGCCGAGCGATCTGACCACCGGAACCGTCTTCTCCCGCTCTTACCACACGTAAACGGTGGGAACACAGTACGGGGACAACAGTAGCATCCTGTTCTGCGATACCACCAGACATTGATTCGGGTATATGGTGTGAGATGTCGTGAATGCCCACTTCTGCCCCTCTATTCGTCAGCGCTAAGATTGGGTGTATTGTCGGTAAGGAAGCGCGCGCCCGATGGAATGAATGTTCGATCGGTGGATGGGATCGGAATCCAGTCCCTGAACCTAGGTACCTCTGATGCAGGGAAGCATTCCGACCCTGTTTCTCTGTGTTCCTATGCTGGAAAACCTTTCTCTGTTTGCAAGTGCATCGAGAAGAAGCGATGTTGGCGGGCGAAGAGGGAATAAGATAGATTGGTAATAATATTACTGCATCATGCATGCTTTTCTAGAAAACAACAAAGAGCACCAAGGCCCACATGAGACTCATCCCAACGCCCTAGGGAATCCAAAACCCGTGCATTCCCATATGCATTTATTTGAGTTCGTAAGGACACCGCAAAACGCCTCGATCTCTCGAATTCTCTTTTCCTCATCTAAGTCATGATGGCGTAAAGAGAATAGAGAAGCAGAAACGTAGTAGACAAGAAGTGAACCCAAGAAGAAGGTGCTATGCAAATCGTGAAGTGAAAGAAGAAAGCAAAGAAGGAGAATGTAGCGCTAGCATCGCGTATATACAACAAACAACATCATCACTGGAT